TTACTTAGGCATAATCATTCAAAGAAATTATAAAGAGTCTTGATCCTTTTTTGTGCATATTTTTTGTTGAATCTTATGTGAAATTCATTTGATTACGAATCATTTTTTTCAATAAATAGGCTTTTTGCAGTTAGTAGTCACGTGACTGTAAGTTATATGGGGAGAAAAGCTACCAAAGTCCTTATATTTCATTACCATCAATTTTTCCTCAAAGTTCTTTTGTTAAACTTGCGATTCATTAAATTCGTTAATTTCTTTTACATCACGTGACTGTAGAATGCAAAGGGCCTATTTGATTGGTTACAAGAATTACATCCTCCTGGTTTAACGTACAATCATTTGTGCTATTTGAATAATAGAGTGTATTTAAACGTTGAATCGTGCTTTTTTTTGAAAGAGCCACATAGTTAGTGGTTATCCTGTGTCATTTGATATAGGACCAAAGATAGAGCACCGTGGTACTCCGTAAAAAGTCACCAGTACTAAGTTTATTAGGAAGGAATTCCTACTCCAGTAGGGTTGATTCTGTTTTCTTTTGTGTATACTTATAAAGATAAAGTATATGTGGCAGAAAACGATCTGTTAAATTGCTGTCTTTCTAATTAATTTGACCTGCTAGTTCTTATTTTACGTGTAGGTTAGCCATTGCGATTGTGGTCTGTGGTATGATACTTCATGCGGTGTTTTCAATGCGTATTGCCTTTTCCCTGTAATTATTCATCAAAGATATGCCATGTCAGTAAGATATTTATAAATTTCAATAATTTCACAAGAAAACTTATGAGTGAAGCAATATTGCGCGTGCGATAAAGTATATAGGTCTATATCGATAGACGCGTCATTTCCGGTCTCGTGTGGAATATTTGTACCAGCTGAATGGCAAGTTTTCTATGGAAATGCACATGGATGAATGCGCATGTGCACATTATTTGCCTTCACTGAAGGCTGTTAATGAGATTCATTCGGCTGATTGAAACGAAACAATAAAGACTGGTACACGATACAACATGTATATGCTGTGACACTGAATTGGCTTCCCATTGTCTACATGTAAATTATCCATTCAATAGAGCGTTTCACGTGATGTCACAGCGGCCATATTGTGGTGCCAAACAATRCATTTTCTATCCTACGGGAATTGAACTCTATTTTTATGCWAAGACTGTGCAGAAAGTTTCTTTTGTTTGGTACATCAATATTGYTGATGCAATCTCATGTGAGTGAAAACGCTCTATACATATAGTTACAGGTACAGTATGGTACGTCGACACGGCTATTTTTTTATTCGTTTGCTTCTCATACGCCCAAAATAAAAYATCTCAGCTAACCCTTTACTTACGTTTAGGCTTCAGTAGGTAGCAAACAAATACGATAATGACGATGATGACGACAAACAGAATGAACGATGCCACACAACGAATGATCGACAACGCTGTAAAAGCGACTGTAATTATGTTATATATTAGCATAGTTAATAAATATGATATTAGCATCAAGATATCATTAATTTATAAATATACTTGATTGCATTGGCATCACGTGGACGATTTGAAATACACTTGCGGTTAACATAACAGACACTACGGATGGGATTAAAAAATCACAACTGCTTCAGTAGTATCTGTTTATCATGATCAAAACGGTCGGTTTATTCAGGACTGATGAAGAGTTGATGAAGAGTTTTGTACGCCGCCTAGCACGCGTTGTACGGGTCAAGACAAGGTATACACTTAATCGCAAAATAGTTATCGGTTTCAAAACATAGAAAATAGAAGCCAAGTATTCTGGAAAATGACATAATCACCCTTTGAAGTATTCATTTCAGATACACACTAGATATGAAACGTGTTAAAATCCTCCATGTTTTCTGTCAGTGTAACAATTTATGAACATTCCA